CCAGTGATTGCATCTTCTTCGTCTTCTGCTGAACTGCTTCATGGGGAACTCGCACGTTTGCTTCTTTCGGCAAAGTTACTTTCTTCTCTACCTCCTGCTAGGTCATGAAGCCATGTAAAGATAAATGAACCAGCACATCAGCTTGGAGCTCATATGAAAGCTTAAAAAACGTCATCACACCAATCGCGTGACCAAACTGAAACGATGCGAGACTCGGATCAGCATAATACCTAAAATTAGTTGCGAGACAGACCTTTCATTCATATCTAGATAATGTACTGTTTATCTATGTCCTAAAACCAGTTGTATCCGCAGCAAACAACTATGATTTCAACCCGGATGAACAAATTAGCTGCGCTCATCAGAGGTTCGTAGGCATGAGGGCCTAGTTCAGAAGCCACTTTTTCCGAAGCCAGCATTGGTTGGCGGGAAGTTCAGGTGAATCTTTTAAAGTCGGAAGCCACAATGGTCATCAGTCGCCACAGTCTATGGTTTTTGTTGTCAGCTGTCATCGGCAGGTTAAGCTTTCCTCGAAGTCTGCTGCCGTAGACCGTATGCAAACTCACCAATCCTTAGAGACGCGAAGTCATGCATCACGGCACCCGTTGACTCAGGTGGTATCACTGTCGTCCTTAGCGCATACACAAATATGGTCATGGTAACTGGTCGATCAACTGACAAACGGGCCTGCCTGCAGGTGTTGTTTCCTGTTTTCAGATTCGGTAGTTGTCATCGCACCCAAAATATGAGGCTCCTGGACACTTTTCGACCCATTTACGTCGTAAAAGTCAACCTATTTTGGCATTGATGGAGGCAGCCAGCACTTTCATTCACTGAAATTCAGTTTTGCCTCCTATGCACAACTCGGTTAAATTTAGTTTCCGCCGGCACTCACCACGTCTTAACTCTTTATTCTTCCTCCTTACAGAAAACACTCCACCAACGCCAATACCTCTGAGAACCGCAACCCACAAAGTGCCAGTAAGTGGCGATACCGTTTTTTATATGTTAGATGGCTTGTGTCAGCTCTCGGCGTAGCAGGGAAAGGGGAAGTTTCACCTGGTGTCGTCAGTGACCTGTTTTTACAATTCCCTGAGGACTCCGTGTATACCCATAAGCCCTTCGTCGGTAGCTCTTTCAGCCCCTTTCTTGCTTTCTACTACCGCTTCTCGTCGCTTCTCACTCAAAAAGCGTCTTTTATTGGGAGCGCAGGCACATTGTATGCTATGTGACTACTCATTTGCAATTAAGTAGTGCATGTTGAAGCTTATGTGATCACAA